AATGTAATGTAATGTAATGTAATGTATGTATGGTATGGTATGGTATGGTATGGTATGGTATGGTATGGTATGGTATGGTATGGTATGGTAGGTATGTATGTATGTATGGTATGTATGGCATGTATGTATGTAATGTAATGTAATTATGTATGTATGTATGTATGGCATGTATGTATGTAATGTAATGTAATGTAATTATGTATGTATGTATGTATGTATGTGTGTATGTATGTGTATGTATGTATGTATGTATGTATGTACGGTATGTATGTGTGTATGTATGTATGTAAGTACGTACGTATGTATGTATGTATGTATGTAATGTATGTATGTATTTAATGTAATGTAATGTACTGTACTGTAATGTAATGTAATGAAATATAACGTAATGTAATGTAATGTAACGTAATTATGTATGTATGTATGTATGTATGTGTGTATGTATGGTATGGTATGGTATGATATGTTATGGTATGGTATGTATGTATGTATGTATGCATGTATGTGTGTATGTATGTATGTATGTATGCATGTATGTATGTATGTATGTTTGTATTTATGTATGTATGTATGCATAGGTATGCTCGTATCCGCTTTTATCATGAACTATGTATGTATACTGTGTATATATATATAATCAATTGGGCCACTGGCTCGCCTTCAGCATTGGGCTACTGGCTCGGAGATTCACCGATTTTGAGGATGTGCTGGAGGTGAAGGCAACGCCTGAGAACCTCTATGAAGCTGCTTGGTTTCGATCAGGAGGGTCCATGGATTGGACCCCTCAAGTTCTGTTGGGAATATCGATAGGTCCCCTGTAAAATTTCCCAACAGAACCATCTATGTGAATTGGGTGACGGCTGTTTACCGCAAACTAGCATCAGAAAATAGGCCATAGTCCATGATTTACCTATTCCTTATTTTCACGGTGATTTTCCATTTTTTCATAGCAAACTGCAACACATTACCAGAGTATGGCATTATGGCTATGGATCAACACTTTCAGTACCCATAATACCATGTTTGGAGGAACCACCATCCATTTACCAGCTATGTTCACCATTCACCAACCATGGCTTTCAACGTGTCAGGTGGCAAATAGACAGCTGGGCTTTGTCGAGATTGACAATGGGATGGATTTCTTGGCGTCTGAGGCACCCTCAGCGCGAACGGGGTGGAGAAACTGTTGGCGCCCCAGGGCGAAAGATACAAAAGGATACGGAAAAAACCTGGTGTTCCTAGGTGGATTTTCAATATCTAATTACTTTAAGTTACTTTAGAAAATGGTTGCGGAATGTTAATCTTTGATCCACTCTTTACTGGGAGACCGGGTGACCGCGTGCGTTGATTTGAGACTTAAGACGACTTCCTTCCTGGCTGGTGATGTCCAGAGATAAAGCTATTTAAAGTTGGCGGAAGCAATAAGAACCTGCGCATACGATATTCAAGAGGAATTGTTTATGAAAACGGCGTATGTCCTTAAGTTTTTAGTCCAAATATGTCTAAATCTTCCATTTTTTACCGAAATCATCATTGCCAGGTCAAGAATTATGCGCAAGCAGCAATGCAAGAGCAGCCTGAACACCCGCTGCTGTTCATTAACCAGAAGAGCTGTGGGCAATTGTTCACCTGCGAGACACTTGGCGAAGACCCGTTGCCATCCAGACCCGGTTGAAGTGGTTGCCACGTAATTATATAATCACGCAAGGAACAATTGCCCTTGGGGTAATCAAACACGGCTGGGGAATCCCTTATCAATGGAAGTTTTACTGGGGAAATTATCCATGGGCGATTTTCCATCGACATGTTTGATTACCAGAGGGTAAATGCTACAAAGAACATAGTGATGGATGATTGCCAGTCACTTGGAAATTTGGATGGCCATCCATTTTGATCATGAGATATCATGAGGTAGATTTGATTTATTTTTTCAGCGCCGTTCGGTATTGATTGCTTTTCATGGTGTTCGAATGTAGCAGTGCTCAAGTCTGTATGTTCGTCAAAGTACTGCCGGAGTGTGCCACATGGCCACACACACACATGTGGACACGGCTGGGCGTGACAGAGACAAGAGTCATCGCGCATGAATGCTGACAACTAAGGATGCAGCTTACACAAAAGTGGCCTGGCTGCGATTCACACATACCAGAATGCGGCAAGCCAAGATGTACCGTACTGTTTGTACTTGGTGTCTTTGAGGCCAGCCAAATGATTGGAAACAGGATCTAACCCTGTTTTTGACCTTTTGCAAAAATGGTGGCATCCCCGGCAAAACTTGGCACCCTTTAACTGCTTTTTTCATAACGATATCTATCAACAGATTCTCAGATGCATGCAACGCACATTTGCAGATACTTCCTCTCTTTTTTCTGGCATTTCAGTCTGCCAATATTATTTGCACCCCAAAAAAATGTCCATATTTTCCGATTGAGCTACAATCAAGCTTAGGCATCATCCGTCCTTGGGCTGGTCCTACCTGGTGGCCACCCATCGCGATGTC